CTGCCTTGCCAAGCAGGGAGGCTGAGGCTCCAGCTGGCCTCCTTGCTGCTCCCAGGGGCAAGTGTCCATCCCCAGGCAGGAAGGGGCGTGGCCATCAGAGAAAGCCCAAGCAGCTCACACCACTTTACTTCTACTTCCCTTGAGCAGGAAGCCTCGTTGTCCTCCATCGGCGGGGGCAGGGAGAAAGAGGGGAAGGCAATTTGTCCAGGTCCTGTGGCCATCCTGTGCTCAGACACAAGCTTTGCCTGGCAGGAGCTTGCTCCCTTGCTCCACTCCCCAGTGCCCTTCATATGCAGTTGAACAAACAGAGGCTCTGTGAAGGTGGAGGGGGGACTGAGTTGGTGACACGGTAAGTGGAAAAGCAAGGTGCTGCACCTGCATCTTTAAAAAACTTCTGTATTTACTTGTTCATATTTTAAAGGCAGAGTGAGAGAGAGGAGAGGAGGGGGTTACAAGGTTGGAGAGGGGGCTAGGGTGGTCTTGAAGAGTGACAGGGCAGTTCGAGTCACACCTACCATTCAGCTTCCCCCTCCCCCCACTCCTCCATTCAGTCAGGCCACCCCAGCCTTGCTACGGAGGGCACCAAAACTCCATGCATCTTTCTTTAGCCTTATAGACAAACCCCACCCCCTTTCCTGCCTGGTCTGGAGGACATCACAGTAAGGCTCTGGCCCCTTGGGTCCAAAACCCAGTTGTAGAATTTGACGACGCAAGTGAGGGTGAAGGACATTCTGTTTCTTGCCTGGAAAATGGGGGAAGGGAGGAACCAGAACAGGACCATTTTGAAGATTCATAGCAATAACTTAAGCCCAAAATTTGTCACACAGGGAGTGTCAAGACATGTCACACCCTTCCCCTCCAATCCTACCCATCCTGTATGATAGTGAGCTGTGTGTTTTTATTCCACGATTTGAAGTCTTTCTGTTTTTGTGTATGTGCTATGAAGTACATAACCCATCAGTCCAAGCAGTGCATAATACAAGTACATTTGTAAATTAATAAATATGCATTCATGGGGAGGTGTTAAAAATACTCTTACTAATAGGGAATGGGATTCAGAAACTGACAAGGCCACTGTTTGGAAGTCCTGAAGAGCAGATAGGATCAGAAATCATAGGGATTGGCTTGGAGCTCCAGGGCCTTTGATACCCCAACACCTGTGCTCCTTCTCCTGGCACAGACCCTTTGCTGGGAACAGGTGGTTAACCCAGTGGCCAGGACACTTGTGTCTGTACCCAAATGCCTGGCTTTGTTCCTGGCTCTGATTCTGGATTACAGCTTCCCACCACGGTGGACCTGGGGGGTAGCAGTGATGGCCCAAGTGGTTGGGTTTCTGCCACCCAAGTGGGAGACCTAGATTGTATTTTTGGCTCTTAGCTCTAGCTCCAGCCTAGCCCTGATTGTTGGAATATCTGTGGAAGTGAACAGCAAAAGGGAGTGTTCTCTCTTGCTCTTTCTCTCTTTCGTTTACATACACACACACTTAAATTACACTTTTCTGTTGCACTAGATTTCCTTTGGTGATGGGGGACTTACCACATTTCTGGGCAACCCATTGCGTGTGTGTGTGTACAGTTCTCAGAATGGTTTCCTAAATCTAATGCCAACATGTATTTTGGTTGCTTCTGAGTTCTCAAAGCCCCTACTTCCCTCTCTGCTGTGTTGTGGCCTTGGACTCTCCCAAGAGTCATGCCAAGCTGTGTGCATTGAATGCTGAATGAATGCTGTCCCATTGGGAAGGAAGATTCTGCCTTCTGCTACCTCTCGCCAGGAGGGCATGCTCCCAGCTCAGTGCTGCTGTCCCCCAGGGGATTGTGGGTCCTGCCACTCTGAGGGTGGATCTGTGTAGTTCTACTTGTCTTATACCCATGTGTGTATGTGTCTGTGTTTTTGCATATCTAGGGTGTCCAGAAGCATGCCACCCTAGGGTCATGTGGGTCCCTGTTTCTGTGTGTGAGTGAAGCACAGCATGTGTGATGTGTATGTGTGGCATGCATGTCTCTGTAGCTCTGTATGTCTGTGTGGGAGCCTTCCTTTGTGAATCTCGCTGAGGGTGCCTCTCAGTGGCCATGGGTGTGTCTTCTGTCCTCTGCTGTGTCCTTTCAATGGAGGCAGGGCCAGTGTGTGTGTGTGTGTGTGGGGGGGGTGCTGGGATGGACTCCTCCAGCCGGGAGGACTTTAGGCTGTCTGACTGGCAGGCAGCATGGGCTTCACGCCCCTCCTCTCCTGCTCAGCTGTACTAATCACCGGGTTCCATGCAGATGGCAAATGGGCGGCTGCCAGGCCTGGAGCAGAGGCCTGTGTGGGGGTTGGGGGTGCAGTGGCGCAGCCACTGAAGATGGTGAAGACAACGTCAAGGCCAAAAGGGAAGGAACTGAGCCTACGTAACTGGCCTTGTGACTGTGAGTTTTCTCCATAGGCGTGGCATTTTTTAGGGGCAGTGGCTATGATGTTTTCCTTCCCTAAATCAAGTCAGAGTCTTAAAATCTTATGATAGTGGAAGCTTGGAATTTGGGCACTGGACTCTAGATTCTAGACTCTAAAATCAGCTGAATGCATTTCTAGACTTAGAGCCCTGTGCAAGGGATGCGGTCCTCCTGGGAGCTTAGTGCCTGCCATCGCAGTGCTTTCTGTCTTTCCGTTTCTCCTGTCTCTGTGTAGAATGTCCGCCAAGGAATGGCCCTGAAAGTTCATCCCACCTCTCTCTGGCTCCAGGCAGAACAGCACAGACAGATGCCCAGCCCAGCCCAGCCGGGACATTCCTGGAGGCCTTGGACTAGGAACCTTTCCTTGCTGCTTGGCAGGCACTTTCTGCCTGTCCAGCCTGGATCTCATGTTACTCTCCCAGGCCTTCTGTGGGGAACAAGTTCCTGCAAAGACAAAGGGCCTATGTTTCTGGGCTATGTTTCCAGCCCGGGAGGGCGGGGGGCGGAGTAGTGGAAAGAGTGTAACAGGCTGCAGGTGTGTGAGACGAGAGGGGCGGGCTCAGTGCCTGGGAGCAGGCAGCTAGCCTGGCAGTCGTCACTGGGCTGTGCTTCTTAGTGTGCTTCTCCATGGGGTCCTGGGAGTCATGGACTGTGCTTGGGGGAAGTCATTCCAGGGCACTTTGAAATACCCAGAGTCATCTCAACTCTGTAATGTATAGACCCTGACTGCCAGCCACCCCCTCATCCCTCCCTGCTCACATGTGCAGCCACACCCACCTGCCTACTCACCTGGAAGCTACTTTACTACTCCACACCTCCTAATCTCTGCATGAACTCTTTCCTTTTGGCCTCTTCTTCACGGTACAAGCTTTATTCCTCTAGATTCCCACTTGAGTATAAACATCACCAGAGAAAAAAAAAAGTTCAACTTATTGAGTATTTTACTTTCCAGAACCTACAGCGTTTGGCACACGGTACATGTTGAACAAATATTTGTTGAATGACGAACAGCGTCACTTTAAAGTCAGCTCATTTCTCTGCAGAAGCTGTGATTCCGGAGCCCTCCCAGGTTTTCCCCAGGCACACATCACTGGGATCACCTGGGGCCAAGAGGTTTTGCTGACTTTTTCTTGTTCACCAGACAGGAAATACCTGGAAGCTGACAGCACGTCTGGTCAATCCGTCTACCTGCCGCATCCAATCCAGGGCCTGGAACCCAGCAGGTGCCCAGTAATGGCAGAGCAGCTGCCAGCAGCCCAGCTCAGTGACTTGAAATCCCCTGTTGATCCTAACTGTGAACGCTGGTCCAGGCTGTTGGCCACATCTGCTTCAGGGTCTCATTTGCAATTGCTCATTCCTTAGCTCTTGCCACTTAATATTTAATAACCAGCCGACTGGCCTTCTCTGGCAGCCACTTAAGCCCCTGATTGCCTCTCATCTGAACTTGGCTTTGAGTAAGGCACCGACAGCCTTGAGGTTAAGCACAAAGCCAGTGTCCTGGGGCCGAGGCCAGCAGGAAGCCAGAGGCAGGGATGCCCACTGGCTTATAACTCCTTGGGTGAGCTTTCCAGGCGAGAGGGAGGTTGACCATTAGCTCCAACAGGCTTCCCCTCATTCACCTGCTGTATAGCACTGGGTCAGAGGGTAAGGGTGGGGAGGAAAAGTGTTAATGGGATTTCCTTAACTCATTTCCAAGTTGAGTGAGAAGGACAGAAGGGGGATTCCACCTGGGCAGTGTCCCAGCAGGAAAGGTGTGGCCTAGACTTCCTCATGGGGACCAGTGGCTCCATGGTGGATGGTTCCCTGCCTCAGCTGACACAAGGTTGGGGAATCCATCCAAGGCAGCCACAATGGGAGGAGGTGGTGATGGAGACTGATCTGACCCTCGAGATGGCAGGAGCTGCCACCTAGCCCTGGGTGGTCCTGCAGGCCTGGGGAGGCTGGGTTCATTCTGACTGCCCAACAGGGCTGGGAGGTGGGAAGGGGCCACAGGATGGGTTGCCTGAGCCCATGCAGCTGGATGGGTGACCATTCTGTACTCAGTAGTCACCAGGCTCAACCAGAAAGAAAACAACAACAACAAACCAAAAAAACAAACAAAAAATAGACCTCAGACTCCACCTTACGATCTGCAGCACCAGTTGCTTTAGTTGCTTCGAGTATGACACAACACTGGGCAGGATGCCTTGGGTACTCACTGGGCATAGGGTGCCAAGTCAGATACTCCCTAGGCCAACAGACACAATCTCGTGTGGTCACTGCCATGCTTGTGATCACTGTCCAGGGTGTTCCCCACTGGAATCCAGGACCTGGCAGGTGCCTGCATAGAACATGGTCCCCATGGGCTATGCAAGGGGACCAAGGCATCACCTCCACATGTGAGATGTAGCATCCTATTTGATGGAAGGCCTGGCCAGGCTAAGAGCCTGTACAACTCCCTGCCTCGGAAAGGGTAGAGCTGGGATTCGAAGCCACCTCCAACTGGCTCAGCACCCAGCTTTCATTCAGGAGCCTGAGTACTATGGTGGCCCACGGAGTCCTTAAGCCCTGGGAATCCATACCCCACGGGCTCTTGTGCTTCTAGATTTTACCTCACCTGGGTGTGTCATTCCTTGCACAGGGGCCATGCTAATCTTCTCTGTATCATTCCAATTTTAGTATATGTGCTGCCGAAGCGAGCACAGATTTTATCCCATCTGGGTCCCTGCTCAGAACTTTGCTCCTCCGATCCCTGTGACCCCCGCCCCCCAGGCCTCCCTGCTGATTGGCAGCCAGCAGCCTCAGCCCTGGCCCACCCTGTGGCTTTCCAGTTCGCTCTCTCTGCTGCAGCGTGGCTACGCAGTTAATGGAATAACAAGACACTTTACCCATTATCTGATGCAAAGCCCTTTTTATGCTGGTGCTTGCTCTGCAGCTCAGATCCCCCTGTGAGCATCCAGCCCACCGTGGCTCTCCCACCCCTGCTCCAGACTCCAACCCAGGGGACTAGACACCATACAGGCCCCTTCTCCCTCCCACCCTCCCATTCATCTTCCATCTCTGGGAACCCCTGCTGAGCTCCGACCATGGAATTTGTTTTGCTGAACGAAGTCAGGGCTATGGCGGTGCCTATCCTTGCTACAGGAACAGTAGAGAGAAATACGAGGACCAGTGCGAGGGGCCCATGGTGTGCAGGGGGGCTGTGCATTCAACCTGCACATGATTGCACACAATCCTGATCCCCTTCTGTAGACTTGGAGGAAAGCTGTGTGATCTTTATGTGGGGTCCAGTTGGGATCTGGACTTGCACCCCAGTGCTTGACCCAGCCCCCACTATGTCCCAAGGGCTTTATCTGCGCATTCCCAGTCCCCAGGCCCTACTTCCTTATTGGCTTTGCATTAGCAGCTCTCTTGGTGGAGCAGAGGATGGCAGGTGGATCAGTAGGGGTGAGGATATGAGTGCTGGCCCCTTTGGCAGCTTTTGTCCCAGGACCTCACAGCACCAATACACCACTGACCCAGGGTATATTTAATGCCTCACGTGTGTGCATGGCTCTGTCATGGACAGGGAAACATGCAGGGAAGAGGATTGCCAACACTGTACATGACAAGTCTCCACCCTAGTACCTCCCACCCAGGTCTCTGATTATCCCCCTCCACCCTGCCCCGCCTTTGTTGCTCCCTGCTCTCTGCCAAGAGCATTGCTCTCACTACACCGGCTGGCGAACTCCTACTCACCCATCAATATGTAACTCTCAAGGTGTCCTTTAAGATGATTCTCCCAACCAGTTCACTTTTCTGGGTCCCTTTGTGCTTCTGCAGCCATATACGTGCCCTCCCCTGTGGGCATGCTCCCAGGAGTTCCCCGCATGCCTCTTCCTTTCCCATTAGGCTATGGATGGGGTGGGAGCGATAATAAGGCATGTCTGGCATCTTTCCCAGGCTCAAACACTGGCTCTGCCATCTTCTACCAGGGCAGTGTGGTGCAACCGAAACTGAGACCCCTAATGCCTTGGTTTTCTCATCTGCACACTGGACATAATAACGGTATCACCTCCTCTGTGGAGCTAGGCTGAGGAATATAAGGTACTTAGAAGAGGCTAGAGCTTGTAGCAAATGCTCCAGGATGGTCATTGCAGTGCCATGGCCAGGTGTACTCCCCAGGAAATAACAAGCCATTTCTCAGGGGAGGGGGATCAGAATGCTCTTGCAGCCAGCACTTTCCACATTCAGGGGGCCTCCAAGTAAGCTGACATTGTGTAATGAGGCAGGTTAGTGACCCAGGCAGGTCTGTGTGGGCCTGGGAATGAGCTTTCTAGAAAGCTTTCCTCATGCCAAACCAATGAAGCTGGGCTACAGCTGGACTTGGACCTCATCCCTGCTTGGGAGTTGGGGGGCTGGAGTCAAGTGATACTTGGCCATGGAAACCTGACTCGTAATAGAGCCCCATTAGGGGAAGCTTGGAAGGTGGCTGACAAGCCAGGGTCCTGCTCTTGGAGCCTCAAGGCCTGGGTTCAAGCCCTGCATTTCCACATCTTGGGCAAACAGCTTCCTGTGCCCAGCTTCCTCCCCTCAGCATGAGACTGGGTGGGGCCACGGTCAGAGTGAGCCTGAGACGTGGTGCGGTGCGCCCAGCCCGCAGCAGCTGCTGCTGTACCCGCAGCCGTTTGTCTGCTGAGGGCTGCGCTCCCTGGGTGTTTTATTTTCTGTTGATAGATTCCAACTCATGTTCCAGGCCTGCACCTGCATACAAATGCCAACAGGCCCGGCCTGCCAGTCTTGCCTTGCTCCTCGCCGAGATGACCAGGCTGTGGGCTCCCAGCGGGGCTCGGAAGTTCCAGGGCTCCTCATGAGGCTGAGACCACCATGACTGTCCAGCTTTGCTGACTGTGGCCGGAAACAGCCAGGCTGCTGGCCCCTTTGAGAGCAGGGTCTCCATGTGAGAGAGGCCTGCCGGGAGGTCTTCGGGGGGCAGTTGGGGAGCCTCTGGGACAATTGGTCACTGTCTGGGGGAAAGAGGTTGGCAGGGCCCTGGCCCTCGGCACTGAGCCCCTGACAAGCTCTTGCCAAGCCTGGGCCTGGTTTCTCTCTGCCTGCTGGTTGCAGGGTGCTTGGGGAGGCAGCCTATGGCAGTTCACTGCGCTCTTCTCTCCACGGCTGTGGGTGAGAAGGCCTGGGGGCTCTGGGTGCTTGGGCCTGGATATTGTCCGGGCTCATGCAAGTGCTTAGAGGAATCCCACATGTGCTTGGACAGGTACCTGCTGTGTGTGGCCCAGGCAGAAAACAGTGACTCAGATAAGTTCAGGTTGTCTGGCTGGGAGATGGGAGTGGAGGCTGGTGGTAGTGCAGGTAGGATGGGAGAAAATGTTGCTCATCATGCAAGGGAGAAATAACAAAGCAGGAGGATGGGAGGAAGGGGGCTGCAGGGGTGATTTCTACCAGGATGGCGGCTCTGAAAAGGGGGATATTTGAGCAGACACATGTAGAAGCCTGTGGTGGGGGGAGGGGGTGTAGGCAAAGGGCACAGCAGGTGCAAAGCTGCTGAGCAGAGACAGGTGCAGTGTGTCTGAAAGAGCTAGGTAGCTCGAGGGTGGGCTGGAGCCAAGGGTTGGAAGAGAGGGGAGCCCACACCAGTCCTCACCGCCCCAGATGTTAAAACTGAGCTCAGAGAGGTTAGGCAGCTTGCCTAAGGCCACACAGCTCAGGCGCCGGGCTTGTCCTGCACTTGGTGCAATGTCAGAGTTGCTCACTGACTCGATATAAAGGTCACACAGCCTTCCTCCAAATCTACTCATGTAGTGCCCGGCACCCACGCTGGGCTCCTGGCTGCAGAATGCCTCCTTCTTGGAGACCTGGAGTGGGACAGGCCTGGCTTAGGGATTCCTCCTAGTCACCTGGCCTCTTCTTGTCTGTAACCTGGGCCGGCTGTGGGGATAAGCCCTGGAGAAAAGGCTGGGTGGCCAGAAGACACCTGTCCTCCCTGTCTTCATGCAGGCCTCTGCAGTTATGGTCCTTTGCCTGGGAGTCCTCTTGGGTATGGACTTTGGAGAGGAGACAGCACTCCCTACAGGTGCCAAAGCCCCAAGCCTCAGGCTTTCCAATGGGGGATTCTGTGTGGGTGTCTGGAGGACTATCCTTGGGGTGAAGCTGCTGAGAGCCCTTGTTCACATGGATGGTGAGGCTGGCATTATCCCAGTGTCCCCTCCTGAGCTCTCTCTTTGTGGTACCCATCAGCCTTGTAATTACTTGTGGAGCATCTGTCTGTTTCTCTGGGCTGCGCACGCTCTCACCCTCAGCTGGCCTTGTTCATGGCTGGGTCTCCAGCAACGAGCAGCCTGCCCGGGGCGTCATAAACGTTTGTTGGGAAAACAAACAAGTGGAGCCTGGCTGGGCTGAATGAATGCACGAAGGCTGCTCGGGAGCAGCTGGACACTGTTTTCCCCGGAGGTCTGGGCTCTAACACAGGCTCTGCGGCCACTGCCATCTTGCGTGTTCTTAAAAGTCCAAGTGTTTTCTGGGAAAATGGGGTGGATGTGTGACTTCCCCAATTCCTTGTACAGCCAGCCCCTGCCCTGCGTGCCCTCACAGAGGGCCAGGTGGGCCAGGCACTGGTGGTGACAGTGGCAGGTGTGATCCTTGCTTTTTTAGAGATAGCTCGTGCAAACCCAAGGATAATGGCCCAAGGCAGCTTGAGGGCAGGGAGAGGCTCAGCCGTGGGCCTGGAGACCCAGCAGGTCCTGGGGCAGGTTCTTGTTTGAGGGACTTTTGGCCAAGTGCCCTGACTGTCTTGCACTGCCCATGGAGCCATTCTTAGAGACAAGGTGTTCACTTGTTCCCTTCCTGCTGAGGGAAGCCACAGCCAGGGATTCTGCAGTCGTGGGCAGCAGTGTTGTACAAGTGCAGGCACCCATGTGGGTGACTCAGAGTGGATCCTGGCTTCTGACCAGCAGGATTCTACCATGGACGTCGCTGGAGGCCCCAGGGTGCGCAGCAAGCTGGCCCTAGACTATTTCAGTCTGATAGGATGAGGAGCGGTGATCTGGTGCATCTTTGGGACCCCGTGCTAGTGTAGTCATTAGTGGCTTCCCTTTCCTGGCATTCATGTTGTGGAGCAAAGGGGTGAGGGGAGAAGGATGCAGGAGGTGCTGCTCCTAGGCCTGCAAGGGAGAGGAAGGATCAGAGAGGTTAAGCGATTTGTTCAGAGTCACTCAGTCCATAATGGGAGGGCAAAGTCTCTAGTGCAGAGTTTGGCCTCGCCCCCTCCCCCAAGGCTGGGCTGCTCCCCGCAATGGATCTCGGCAGTGGCAGCGCTTCAGCACTGGTTTCCATAGCAGCAGGGCCCTTCCTGTACAATGCATCCCCCCACCCCCTTCCCTGGCTTTGCAGCTGTGGGGGCTGCATGGGTGACGATGTCCACTGATCTTGGTGGAGGACAGCCTGGGTGCAGGTGAGAGAACCTGGCAGGTCCTTGGAAGGCTCTTGGAGTCCCTAGCCCTCAAAGGAGGGACCCTGTTGTCTGAAGGTTCGTTTCAGCTCTGGGGTTGAATTCACTTCCACTTGCAGGTTGTACAGAAAGAGGAGGAAAGGCGGCAGGAAAACAGCAGGTACAGAAAGTCAGAGCCAGGGGACATCACCCCAAAGCCCAGAGCCAGGGAAAGGTGGATGCGTTGTTTTCCAGACAAACCACTTCATCTCTGCAATCA